AGAAGCTATCCCCGGTGACTCTAATGTGCAGCCAACATTGAGAACCATTGACTTAGATTAACCAGAACTTATTGATGAGTCACATTGGGGAGAAATAAATTCAGAGGTCAGCCAGGAGGATGGTTATTGGATAGAACAGTCACAGACAACCAAAAAGCTTTTGTTGAAATTCTCCAAAGAAGATATAAAATGGTCACCAAGCACGTGAAAAGATGTTCAACATCACTAATCACTAAGAAAATGCTGAGACATGACACAATGAGATGTGACCTCACACACCATCAAACAAAAACAAAGTAGAAAATTACCAGTGTCAGAATAGGGAGAAACTGGGACATTTGTGCACCGCTGGTGGGAATGTAATATGTTGCAGCCCTAGTAAAAAAAACAATAGGGAAATGCCTCCAAAAATTAAAAGCAGAATTCTCATATGATTCAGAAATTCCACTTCAGTGTTGAGAACCCTAAAATTGAAAGCAGGGTCTTGAAGAGTTATTTGTCTATAGCAACATTATCCACAATAACCCAAAGATGGAAGCGACTCAAGTGTCTGCTGAAGGATGTCCGGATAAACAAATGTGGTCTACACACACAAGGAAATGCAATTCAGCATCAACAAAGAAGGAAATTCTGACATTTGCTGCAGCATGACCGAACCTTGAGGACAACACGCTGAAGGAAATAAGCCAGTCATATGAAGACAAATGCAGTACAATTCCATTGGAGTTTCACGTACCTAGAAGGTTCACGTCCATGGAGACAGACAATAGAATGGGGGTGCCAGAAGCTGGGAGATAGGAGGGTGGGGAGTTGTTGAGTAGGTACAGACATTCAGTTTTGCAAGATGAAGAAAGTTCTGGAACCAGATTGCACAGCAATGAATATACTTAATACGTCTGTGCAAGTACACTAAAAAATGGCAATTTCATATTATGTATGTTTTACCACAATAAAAAAAAAATGCTGAATAGATGCAGAGGGGTGATGGCAGGACAAAAGTGAGGAAGCTACAGAGTGCCAGCACCCTAAAGCAACAGATTTCATTTCAAAAGGCCTGATTCCCAAACTATAGATCTGAGGCATACAGCAGGGGAGGGGGAGAGAGATGGGTCAAAATAGGGGTGGGAAGAGCATAAGGGACTATGGCGATGGTTGATGGGTGATTGGTGGTGGGAGATTTATGGGGGCCGCACCTGAGCAGAGAAAGCAAGTAAAAAAGTTTAATAAAAAAAAAAATCAGAGCCTGTGATTCCAAATTCCAATGATGCTTAAGAAGAGGGGGAGGGTGGATAAGAAGAATTGGGAGAGGTTCCAGAATAGAGCATACCTAGTTATCAGCCTTTTGGAGAGCCCCTGTGGGAATTCTTTGGCAAACTGCCCTCGGAGTGCCTGGAAAGGGGAGTCAAGCTAAGGCCCCATTTACTGCAACTCTCAGTGGGGATTTTGCAAAAGGTTGGTCAACAGATATGTACTTGTTACAGGATGTTCCTCAGGGAAAGGGGAGGTTCCAGGCTCCCTGCCCTGGGGCTGAGAAAGGAGGAGAAGCTGCAGAGGAGACTGAGGAAGGAAGGAAGCAGGATGGAGCCAGAAGGAGCCCTGGAGGAGGCACATGGAGCCTAGAGACACGTGACGAAACTGCGCTTGCCTTTTGGTCGTAGATGGGGTGACACAGATGTGGGTGAGACCCATGGGGAGGTGACAATGGCAGCTTTTATCTTGATTTTGATTTTGCTCCTTCTGTCCCAGATATGCTGGGCCCCTTGGCCCCTTTCTTATGTGCCCCCCGCCCCCTGCCAGGAGGTGCCTCAGATTTGTGGCAGGCTTTCAGGCCTCAGTGGCCCTGCTTTGGGCCAACCCTGTTTGGCTGGATGTTTACCCACAAGTAGAGGGATAGCTTCGAGCACTTGATTTGAAAACTATATATTTTCCCTTCTCTTTGTTGCACGCTAATTTCATTAAAGTTCCTTTCCATTAAAGATCTTAAGCACTAGAGTATGTTCTGCCTTACTGCAGTGGATGGCAGAACCTAGTTAGAGCAGGTAGGTTTGGGGGTTCTGGGGTGCCCCACTCTCTGCCCTGTAACAGCACAACTATTAAAAATGAACTTTTTTAGTGAAAGAAAAGATAAACAGATGGGATTACATCAAACTATAAAGTTTCCATATGGCAAAAGAAACATTAACCAAAACCAAGAGACCTTGCTGATTGGAAGAAAATTTTTGCTCTCCATGCAACTGATAAGGGACTGATCACAAGATCTACAAAGAACTCACAAGACTTAACAAAAACAGAGTAAACAATCCAATCAAAAAGTGGGCAGAAGAGCTAAAAAATACACTTCTCCAAAGAGGAAATGCAAATGGCCAACTGGTACTTGAAAAAATGTTAAACATCATTTATAATCAGGGAAATGCAAATCAAAAACACGAGATACCATCTGACACCAGTGAGAATGGTACATATTACAAAAACTAGCAACAACAAATGCTGGCGAGGATGTGGAGAAAAAGGAAATCTCCTGCACTGCTGGTCGGAGTGCAAACTGGCCCAAATACTATGGAAAGCTGTCTAGAGTTTCCTCAAACTACTAAAAATGGAACTACCATATGACCCAGCAATTCTATTCCTATGAATCTACCCAAAGGACACAAATACTTTAATTCCAAAGGGTACCTTTACTCTTATGTTTATTGCAGCACTATTTACAATAGGTAAGAAACAACACAAATACCCAAAAAATACACGACTGGATCAAGAAGATGTGGTACATATACACAATGGAATACTACTCAGCAAACAAAAAGATAAACTCGGGCCTCCCCGGTGGCGCAGCAGTTGAGCGCTGGGTTGCGAAGCTACCCACGGCCTCTATGGCGCCAGTTCGATCCCTGGTTGCTCCCCGGCCACCAAAGGAGGGTCCCACATGGCGCACAGACCTCTCCTGCCGCCCGCTGCTCCCCTCAGCAGTGTACTTCGTCAGTCTGCCTGCTCTGCTCCCTGCTCTGGCTCTGGTGAATTCTCTCACCCTCCCGCGCTTCTGACTGCACCCAGTGCATGTATAAACAAACAAACAAACAAATAAATAAATAAATAAAACATGCGTCTATATTAAAAAAAAAAAGATAAACTAATGCCATTTGCAGAAACATGGATGGAGCTAGAAAGGATAATGCTCAGTGAAATAAGCCAGAAGGAAAAAGAAAAATATTGGATAGTTTCACTTATAGCAGGAATATAGGGGAACCAAATAAGGGATCAGGAAATATAATAATAATAATAAAAAAAACAAAACTAGCAGGCAACTATAAATCAGTCATTCTGCAAGAGAGGGAGAGGTAGAGGGATCAAAACAGGGGAGGGAAGAGCACAAGGGATTGTGGTGGGAATTTTACGGGGACTACACTGGAGAGAAGAAAGCATGCATTGTAGAAAAATGAACAATGATGTTAAATATATATAAATAAATACGTTATTAAACAAACCTATATTTTAGATACCTAAATAGTTGTTAAGTATTTCCTTATAGAAATACCCTACTTGAATGAAGTGGGAGCGATAAAATTTTAATATTTTAACACAACAGTTGAGTAATGAATCTAGGCAGTACTCATTAATGGCTGTTAACATCATTAAAAAACAGTGAATTTGGCCCTCCCTGGTGGTGCAAGGGGTTAAGACGCAACCTATGAAGCTATTTGCAGCCTCTGCAGCACAAGTTCAATCCCTGGCCATGGAGCTACCCACATGGCACAGCAGACCTCTCTTGTCTCCCCCGCTGCTCCCCTCAGCAGTGTATTTCAGTACCTCTGCCTGTTCTATTCCCCACTGTCTCTGGTGAATCCTCACACCCCACACCTCTGACCTGTACCCCAGATCTTGTATGCATAAATAAATAAATCTTTAAAAAAGCATAGTGAATTTATATTATATGCAAAAAAAAATATTAACAAAATGAATTTTCATAGTGGTAACCCAGACCCACTGTATCATCATCCCTGGGGTAGGGCCATGAAGCTGCCTTATAATGGGGATCTTGGTTGATTCTTAAACCACTGGAAATCTCGGAAGAGATTAGCTTCCGGGCCTCCCTGGTGGCACAGTGGTTGACTGCTGGGTTGCGAAGCTGCCTGTGGCCTCCGCAGCACCAGTTCGATCCCCGGCTGCTCCCCGGCCACCAGAGGAGGGTCCCACATGGCGCGCAGACCTCTCCTGCCGCCCGCTGCTCCCCTCAGCAGTGTACTTCGGTCCTTCTGCCTGCTCTGCTCCCCGCTCTGGTGAATTCTCTCACCCTCCTGCGCTTCTGACTGTACCCAGTGCATGTATAAAAACAAACAAACAAAAACAAACAAACAAATAAAATAAATAAATAAATAGAACATGCCTCTATTAAAAAAAAAAAAAAAGATTAGCTTCCACATGAAGGCTCTCAAGCTAAGCAAGTAGGGAGGCAAAGGAAGAAACACACATTGACGATCTCCTTTTAGGTGCCTTGAATACAGATGAAGTCATTTAAACTTCACAGCAATACTATAAAACAGTGTATTATAATCTCTCTATTGCTCAATGGCAAACTAAAGCTAAGGGACTGGTCTAAGAATCTGAATCTAGTTCTAACTGAAAGCCATTGCTAACTCGGCTTCCAGAATGTGTCCACTTTTGCATCTCTCAATAAAACCTAAAGGCTGAACTGATGAAAGTCAGAGCGATTGTCTTACATTTATCCCGAGGTCCCATGGTCACTTAAGTTCATTATCCCGAGATACTATTATGTCTACAATTTAAGTCCTTAACTCAAAAGATTGGAGACTCAGGTGGCTATATCTTTTCCTCATTTACAATGGAAGCAAATAACCCCTTCTTCTGGGGTGTAACAGCTGACAAAAGGGACTGACACACCCTCAAATAAAAACTAGCTCAGCCCAAGGGTGGGTCTGCTAACAAATGTTCCCTTTCAAATCACACTTGGGCTTTGACCAGCTGCTATTTTCACTCACCAGGAAGTGGTCTTCTTTGTGCAGTCAATGCCTCTTCCTGTACATCCTCCCTTGGAGAGGCTAAAGGGTCATATTTCTTGAGAAGGAGATCCTGTGTTTGGTGAGGCAGTGAGTCAGTCAGATAGTCATTCTTCAGAGGTTCAGTAGGAACTGGCAACTGTGTGCAAAGGTTAGAGATGGAAAACGGTGTCACACCGGCTCTCAACAAGCTTACAATCCAGTGGGAGATGTAGGTCACTAGACAGGCTACTGTAATAGTGTAGACTTCTGTGCAATGAGTCTGGGAAGCACTATGGAGCAATGATTAAACACTGTGGCCCAATCCAAGACCAGCCAGTGGGAGAAACCAAGGAAGGCTTCCTGGAGGAAATTCTGTCTACACAGAGGCACAGAGGGGTGAGTAGGCATGACTACCAGGGGCTGGCAGAGGACACAGCAAAGGCACAGAAGGAAGAAATAACAGTGTGCAGACCAAAAGAATAAAGTTGCATCTACAGGAGATGCCATCAACCCTTCCCATGTAACTAAATCTACATGTTGTTTTTCAGCAGATTTTTTCCCCTATTTCCCTCAAGGTCTTTTGGCTGTTGGTGTTTGTGTTTTTCCTGACCAGCAAGTTAATGCTACAATTAGTAGAAACCTAAGGCCCAATGGAAATTAGGCTGGACTCCTAAGAAATCAAGTGGTGGAAAAATGACTGTGACAAGACTTGTAAATAACACCTGAGCCACTGAAATGATCTCTTTTACAGGCAAGTAATATAACCTAGGGCCTCGGGCATACATGGCAAGATCGATACACCCACTTGGAATATGCCTGCTGGTAAGTTGGACTTCCTGAATCTCACTTCCCTCATCTGCAGCCTGCAGCATAAATCCTGATTTTAAATTCATGAGAGCACACTTGTGGGAGATGACTGGCATGTATTCAACACTCAAAAAATGGTAATTGTTATTCTGATACACACCATTTGCATTATCATTAAATCATGGCACAACAAGATCAAGTGTGAACGAAACGGAATTCATTTCATCCAACAACTGACTCACTACCTAGAACAAAACCTGGAATCTGGGGTCTCCCCAGTGGCGCAGCGGGTTGAACGCAGTGCTATGGAGCTATCCACAGCCCCTGCAGTGTGGTTTCGATTCCCGGCCAGCCAAGGAGATACCCACACGGGGCGGCGGACCTCTCCTGTCGCGCCTGCTGCTCCCTTCAGCAGTGTATGTCAGTCCTCCTGCCTGTTCTGCTCCCCGCTCTGTCTCTGGTGAGTCCTCTCACCCTCCCGAGCCTCTGACCTGTACCTTTGCTCTTGTATATATAAATAAATCTTAAAAAAAAACCTGAAATCTTAAAAACCAGGGGTCCTCTGGCCCACTTTTTCCTCCAATGCAGAAATCTTAATTTTTCCTTTTCAGAGAGTTCAAATTCCATTTCCCACCTGCATTCAATAATTTCTGATATTTAGACATTCTTTGGGGGGTGGGTTTCTTAGTTGAAAAGACTGATCTTACTGTGGAGTAAGAGAAAAGGAGTGAAGATGTGTTGATGTTATATCTGGAAAGTAGAAAGCTTACTTGAGGAGGGGTGTTGACTGTCTGAAAGAGGGGATTCCCTGTCCATTCACAGCATAGCCCCTGGGGGTGTGAAATGCTTTGGTTTAACCCACTAACAGCTCATGAGAAGAATTCCCTCTTTTTGCCGAAGTCTAGATTTTAACAACAGATATTCTCTCAGGGCAGTCTCAGCTCCACAGAAACACTCTCACATTTCTTTTAATCACTTCCTCATGAGAACAGATTTTCATGGGTTGAGGGTGTATTAATACAAATATGATGAGAAACTGAAGAATCTGAGCCAAGTGACTATTCCCACTTGAAATGCTTCCACATGTCTAAGTATTGATTGAAAGGACTGAGAGAAGTGTTAAGAAGTCAGGGAAATTTTTCTACAGGGAAATCAAAGTCTATGGAATTGCAATAATGAACCCAGGTCTGGCATAGCACTCATGGTAACACATTCCAACAATAATAACCTTTCTTTAGAACTTTAAGGAATAATCATTGAGCTATGTGATAACCAGTAAAAATATAGCACAAAGTCAAGTGAGACTCCTGACCAAAGAGTAAAACTCAGTTCTGAATTCTCCATCATGCATTGGCCAAGAAAAACCCAATAGGTGTGAAGAATCCCATTTCTAATATAAGTGCGAGACCACCATCTTTGGTTGGGTTCACGACTAAGTTCGTAATTTTTGGGATCCAGTAAAAAATGAAAATATGGGGCTCTTTGTTCAAAAACTGTTAATAATTGCAGCAGAACATTAAGATAGTTACAAGGTCCTTCCGAGGTCACACATCCATGAAGCTGGTCTTAATTGGGTTCTTCCTGTTGAGACTCTGAGACTACAGTTTATTTGGGAGGTATTTCCAGGAAGTGTCTGTAAGAGGAGTGGGGAAGTGAAACAGAGAAAGGTCGGAAGTCAGTTTAGGTGCATTAATAAACAGATTACCGATGTGTTCAGCTATGGTTTAATCCCATTGGGGAATTCTGGAAGACAGTGTAGAATCTGTTTCAGAGTTGTCCCATCTGAAGAAGCTGGGTATGGCTGCTCAAGGGTATTAGTTTCCAGGCTTATTATGTTCCCCTCAACACCTCAAATAGGGAATTGCAGGTAGGCAACCATGAGGACCAATGGACAGGGCACCAAAACTGTCTGCCACAACCACATCAAAAACTGGTATTAGCTTATTCCTAGGATTACAAATGACTCATGGTTGAAGAAACTGGGGAAGTGGGGTATCTTGGAGAAATTTCAAGTGTACAGCAAATTTCCAGATTGCCCTCCAATTGGGAAGACACAGAGGTTTTTACCTATACTGTAAGCTAAGTGAGAATGGGCGTTCAAAAGGAGAAGTCAAAGACCTTGACAAGTTTCCCTGGAGGTAGGGAAAACACAGGATTGGGATTCTAACACATACCCGAGAAAGCCAAAGGCAAGAGTCTGGCTGATGCTGGCAGAACCAGGAGGATCCTGTACAGGTAGTGGGTTGTACTTCCAACGTTCACTACAGGGTAAAGATGCAAATTCCTCAGAGACTGTATGGGGACCTGCAGAAGGGAGGCAGCTTGAGCTTTGTATAATGAATCTCACCAAGAGGTCACTTGGAAGGGCAAGGAGCCTGCAATGGAGATATGAGGGATAGAGTGTATGAGGAGAATCTAGAATCTCAGGGTCTGGGCTGAGAGACATAAGGAGCCATGTAAAAAAAATTTTTTTTAAGATTTATTTATGCATACAAGAGCCAGGGTACAGGCCAGAGGTGCAGGGGTGAGAGGATTCACCAGACAGGGAGGGGAACAGAACAGGCAGCCTGACTGAAATACACTGCTGAGGGAGCAGTGGGCGCAGCAGGAGAGGTCTGCTGCACCATGTGAGTAGCTCCCTGCCTGGGGATCGAACTCATGCTGCAGTGGCTGTGGATAGCTTCACAGTGTTGTGCTTAACCCCTTGTGCCACCAGGGAGGCCCAGCAGGCACAACTTCTGCCTTAAGCAGGCATCAGCCAGGCAAAATGTAGCCAGCACACCAAGACTGACACATCTTCCACTAATGTCCTTCCCCCTGGATTTGGGCTTGATTTTGAGGGGTGAGAGAGAAGAGAGATGGAGGCAGGTTCAGAAACATCATCTCTTTATTAAGAGAGAAAGTAAATGTGGGTGCTAGTGTAGTCAACCACACCTCTTCATATCACATTTTAGTCCTCTGAGCCAAGGAGGCCTGGGCGGAGAATGGGAGAAGTTGTAACATTAGATAATATTTGGACATTATACCATGCTAGACGGGAGTAGCAGGATTAGATTGGATTGGATTCTTGGCCAGGCCAGGGACTTGCAAACTATTTATTATTCAGAGAAAAATGTTGTATCACTTGCCGGAAATTTAATTAAGTATGGGTAGGATTGTTTGACAGGCAACATTTAATGAAGTGGAATTTAAAAAGCAATAAAGTTCCTTTCTACTTAGATCCACCTAATAATACATTTATTTATTCACTGTATGCATAATATGTGCCAGACACAATGCAGCAATAAATAAGACATAATTCCTGCCCTCAAGTTGCTTATAGCCTCAAGAAGGAGGCAAGAAAGCAGGCTATCATAATACAAGAGTAATCACAAAGTGGTTGGTAACACAAAGGAGGGACACCTAGGGTGGAGCAATGGGCTATTTGAAGAATAGGTAGAAGATATCCAAATAAAGAGGAGTTGGGGGGTTGGGGAGGTACCATGTTCCAAAACGGTGATCTGTACCAAGGCCCTTAGGTAATCCAGCAAGATTGAGAAAAACGGGGAAGGAAAAAAAGAACAACCAGTGCTTTCCAGAAAATGAAATAGAAAAATGTAGCTAGAACTCCTGAGGGCTAGGAGACAAAAAATGATGCTTAGTAGGTAATCAAGGCCAGAGTATGCTAGTTAACATATGGAATAAGAACAAGGGAAGCCACAAAAATGTTTAAGCAGGAATTTAATTTAAAATCACATATCATCACTTAGAGCTTGAAATTCCAGCAACATGTCTTGCATAAATATATGCTACTTAAGGAGATGGGATTTCTCCTTAGTTCAAATCTTTGTAGGATCCAGCAGGTTGTGTTACAGGGCAGGGAGGGGGCAGCCCAGACCCCAAAAACCTGCCTGCTCTAAATGGGTTCTGCCATCCGCCTCATCAACAGAAAACGTATGAGACTAATGGGAAGGAACTTTAATTACAATTAGGAAACAATACAGAAAAGACAAAGAATCTAGTTTCTAAATCAAGCACCCAAAGTGACCCGTCCCTTCGTGGGTAAAATTGGTCCAGAGCAAGGCCCCAAAGCCTGCCACAAGTTTAAAGCACCTTCCAGTGGGGACCCGCAGAAACAACTAGACAAGTCTGGAAGGAAAAGAACAAAATCAAGACAAAAACCGCCACTGTCACCTCCCCACGGGTCTCCCCCACATCTGTGTCAGCCAGTCCACGACCAAAAGGCAAGCGCAGTTTCTTCACGTGTCTCTCGGCTCCATGTGCCTCCCCCAGGTCTCCTTCTGGCTCCATCCTGTTTCCTTCCTTCCTCAGTCTCCTCTGCAGCTTCTTCTCTCCCTGCTCAGCTCCACCCTCCCTTGGGTGGGGGAGGGAACCTGGAACCTCCCCCTTTTCTGGGGACCACCCTGCTACAATCCCCCCTTTTAATTTTTATTCCACCATATCTATGGAGGCACAGATCTCAGGGTGTAGTCTTAGGAAACAGTCTTTTTTCAGGGTTACAGTGTATGTAAGAGAAGCAACAATTAGCAGCAGCATTGTCCATGAATGTCCAATATGACAGTTTTCATTACTGGAAAATAGACCATTATCCAAAACAAAATAAAAAAAAAATATCTGGAAGCATTACCCAAAACAAGACAGCAAATATATCAAAATCACAGGGGGAAAAATCTTAAAATTGGTTGAACTTATGTAAAAAAAAAAAACAAAAAACAAGTTCGCAAACTGAATCTACCTTTAAACCATTTTACCTATTTTTGCATACAATCACAGGGCAGAATAACTAAACAGCAATTTGAGCTGGCTTTGTTGGAACACTCCATACAGGATCAGAGCAAACTCTTGACATCCAGTCCACATAGGCTTCAAGAGCAAAGTTGGTCTCACCAGACCCCACCTGGGCTTTCTCTTCTCGAGGGTACCAGGGCATTTTCGTTGGCCGGGTTGTCCAGTCCTGCCAATGGCGGCAGCTTCCTCACCTTCTTTGGAGGTCTCTGGAACCCTACAAACAAAGCAGCGGGTTCTCCTCTTCTTGGTTCTGCTCTATTTCAACTTCCTGGAAGAACTCCATTCAAAGCCACACAATGAAACTCATCCCCAATTGTTTTTGTTTTAAGCAGACAAAATCCCTATGGAAGTTATGCAAAAATAGACACTGACATGAGTAGTAAAAATTACTACCACTGTTTTCATGCTGTGTTAGTACCAAGGGGAAAGAAAACGCAAATACAAGTTAGCTCTGCTGAAAAAAGAAAAAAAAAATTAACACTGCTGCAGGTCCTGGTCAGTCAAAACAAGAAAACTTCTGGTGAATCAGAACAAAATGCAACAAAATTTCCAGTATTATGTCAAAACTTATTAAAAATCAGGTGTATCTCCAACAGTCTGTTCAGTCCTTTATAGGAATTTTTTTTTCTTTTTAAAGATTTATTTATTTATTTATTTATACAAGCACTGGGTACAGTCAGAAGCACGGGAGGGTGAGAGGATTCACCAGAGCCAGAGCGGGGAACAGAACAGGCAGACTGACGAAGTACACTGCTGAGGGGAGCAGCAGACATGGCAGGAGAGGTCTGTCGTCCCCTGTGGGACCCTCTCCAGTGGCTGGGGATCGAACCGGTGCTGCAGAGACTGCAGGCAGCTTCGTAGCCCAGCGCTCAACCTCTGCGCCACTGGGGAGGCCCCTTTTGTAGGAAATTTTTTAACCCATCAAAAGTTCCATCAATGGGAATCTGTTGAGGCCTTTCCCCCCTATTTTTTTTTACAGAAACAATTCCTGTAGATATCAAACAATTAAAGTATACAATATTACTAGGCGACAATCACCACTGACAATTTACATATACCAGGTACTGAGAGGTTTTAGAAAACCAATGTTAACTTTTCTGTACATGTCAAAGTTTTACCATTTTCCCAAGTGACAATGCTTCCTTTCTAGTTTTACCTTTACTAGGAAAGCCAAATAGGACAAATTCATCTAATGTCTTTCCAGGAGGAAAGGGAGAAACTTTGTGGCGTGTGTCAGGAGCTCTACTGAGGTTCCATATAATTTCCGTAGATCAACCTGTTATAGGGCAGCCCCAATACAAAACGGGGTGCCCGACTGTGAGTCCTCACCTGTGCGCTTAAAAGGACTTATCAATGCTCTACTGCAGGCACACAGGAAAGGTTAATAAAAGGTTTATTCACAAGGGAAGGGCAAATGAGGAAATGTACAGCTCAGGGAGAAAAGTGGGAGACAAAGTTTTAAATGCGTCCTACCCGATCCGCCCATCAGGAATCCCAAATGACATTCTGAGAGCTGGCCGCCAGCCAGGAGCCGTGAAGCCAGGAGGCAAGGAGAGAGCGACCCCCAAGGCCCATGTGTTTGGTTTTTATACCACACCTGGCTGCTGAACTCCACCCTCAGGTCGATTTGTTTCTCCCAATGTCCTGATGGCTTTGGTCTGGAGTGGGGGTGGAGTCCACAAAGCCTGCATGGGATTAGCTCAGAACATCCTTTCCCCCTAACAAACCAATGACAGGCTACCAAATTTTTACTTGAATTTAGATTTCTGGCAAGCTTTGCCATAAACATCAGAAAACAACAGCAACAACAATATTCAGTCCCTATGAAGGCACCAGCTTAGTTCAGTAGTACAATGTTGACAATCAAACCACAACCTTTAGTTTTTCCTCATAACTGGAGACTTTTTTTTTCAATGTCTATAGGCACCATGTATATCAATTTTCAACCTCTAGAGGCCAAGACAGTTAGACACAAGGACATACAGACATACAACATATAGACAAAGACAGGTTTTTAGTTATGCCACATGGAATATATTACTTAACTGCAGTTTTACTCCATAGGCTCAGAAAAAATGTCAAAGTCCAAAAAAAATGTGGAGTGTTGCTGGCAGAAATCAGTTTCCATCCTGTTATAGGGCAGCCCCGATACAAAAGGGGTGCCTGACTGTGGGTCCTCACCTGCGCGCTTAAAAGGACTTATCAATGCTCTACTGCAGGCACACAGGAAAGGTTAATAAAAGGTTTATTTACAAGGGAAGGGCAAGTGAGGAAATGTACAGTTCAGGGAGAAAAATGGGAGACAAAGTTTTAAATGAGTCCTACCCGATCCGCTGATCTGGAATCCCAAATGGCGCTCTGAGAGCTGGCCGTGAGCCAGGAGCCGTGAAGCCAGGAGGCGAGCGACACAGCGAGCCCCCAAAGGCCCACGTGTTTGGTTTTTATACCCAACCTGGCTGCTTAATCCACCCTCAGGTCCCAGCCACCTTCTCTTTGGTGGTGACA